GTTTCCAAATGACAGATAGGGTTGTCTACACTCGGGACGTTAGAAGAGGCGTGTAAACCCACCCCACCAGTTTTTCTACCAAATCTTTGTATCTGCTCTCAGCGCTGTCTCAACCCAGGCGTAAAAAGCTCTCCGATCTCTCTCTAGAGCTTCATCGCCATGTCTCAGGTAAATCAATCATCTTCTTCACCTTTCAATTCTCTCTCTCTCTCTCTCTCTCTCTCTCTCTATATCTTTGTATTTTGGAAATTAGGTTTATATATATATAAATATGTTATGGAAATTAGATTTTATTGAATGTGTAAGTTGTGGATTTTCTGATTTTTTGATTGATGTGAACAAATTAGGTTTCAACGTATGCGAACGGTGCGATCAAATTTATATATGCTTATATTTGTATATGCGCGAGTAACATGATTCGATTCATCGATTTTTAGGTGGATAACAGGAATTCTTCAGCGGCAAAGCGAGCTCGAACTGACGGTATGCTTATTTCTCTATCCTGTCTTGTATATGTGTGTATATGCATGCATATATTTGCATCTGTGTATTTACATTTACTCTTCAGTTGCAGATTCGTTAGGGTTAAAGAAATTGCTTTAGTTGCCTTTATTGCTTCATTGTAATTCTATGAGAATAATGAGATACAAATAGAAAATGTTATACATAAATTTTATATAGAATGATGTATCAAATTTTTATTCATTAATTACAAATCAAAAGACTCTGAAAAGGCTTTGTATTTCGAACTGCAATTGACACATCATTCTAGTGAATTTTTTATTTTGTTTTTGGGTGCAAAAATTGCTGTTTTCAAATCATGGACAATTGCCTCATGGCTTATTCATTCATTTTGGTTTCAAATGAATTAATATAATTTTGATTTGACATGTCATTTTGTATGAAATTTGTGTATTACTTTTATGTTTGTATATTATTACTCATTCTATAATTATATGAGAATACGTTATTCACGGATGTGTGTGAATCAATTATTGGATAGTCAATTATATAATGACACCTCACCAAAAATGGTATCCAACTAATCGTCACTCATGTGTATACACCTTAACTCATCAGATCATTATGCTTTTCTTTTTCTCTCCTTCTTCTTCCCTCCCAAGCGATCATTGACAACCGCCACCACACGAACCAGTCATCAGAGCAACCCAACACTATCTTGGCCATGACAATTTTCTTCACCAGTGGAACATAGAAGTCGTTCATTACCGTATGTAATTTCAAGTGAAGCTTGGGAAGTTTTTTTATTTTTTTTTAGGATTTGGGTGAATTTTATAATTTAAATATGCTTTTATGAACATGTACAGTTTAATTGTTCTTTGTAAAATATTGAATTTGATGGTTTGATCAATTTTTATTTTTATTTTCTGTTATGATGTTTTTGTGAATGGAATGTAAATAATCAGCTCTTAGAGAGTGAGAGGCACCACCGTCGGAAAAAATAAAAATTTTTAATATTTTTATTAATTTTGTTATAGGTTTTACTTTTTGCGACGACATTATACTGTCGTAAAAAATAGAAATTTTATTATTTAAAATAAAAATTTTATTATTTTTTAATATTTTTTGCGACGGCATTACACTGTCGCAAAAAATAAAAAATTTCATATTTTTTATACTTTTTGCGACGGCACCACACCGTCGCAAAAACAGTGTTTTTTTAAAGAAAAAGACTATTAGCGACGGTATTTTTTGCCGTCTCAAATAATATTTTTAGCGACGGTAAAATAAGGCCGTCACAAAAAAGTCAAGAAATTTCAAACGTTATTAGCGACTGCACGGTGCCGTCGCAAAAAGGTAAAAAATGCCGTCGCAAAACATTAGCGGCGGCACTTACCGTCGCAAAAACTCTTTTGCAACCCCTGCAGTTGCGACCCCCCTCTTGCCATCGCAAAAAGTCATTTTGTCGTCGCAAAAAGTATTAGCGACGGCATTAGGAGTATTAGCGACGGTATTTTACCGTCGCAAAAAGTCAATTTTTTTGTAGTGACAGGAAGCACAAAAGAAAAATATTAGAAACCAGAACAGCATATAAATATTTTTGCAGAAAAAGGAACAGCTATAAACATCTAGATTAAAAAAAATACAAACACAAAAAGAAGTAGAAAGTTCAAAATGTAGAACAACTACATGGAAAATGATACATTTTTTAAAATTCATTGCAAATTATCTTATAAGCAAAGCTTAAATAAAAAATATACAACCAATCCCAAGCACATCATTGTAGATAGACAACCAACATAAACACGGAAGTTGATTGATGGGCTGGAATTGGGAACAGAAAATTAGTATCATTCAAGACTTCTGTCATTAAAATCACATTTGATATAAATTTTGCAATTCATGATCAGGATTTAAGAATTGAATTCAACTAAACTTGTTTAGTGGCAAGTCAAATCTGTACGCCTAAAAGTACAAACCATTGGTAAGTGACAATTATTTCTGAAGTGTTGCCTTGCTTATCAAATAAAGGCACTGCTTGGTGCAATGGTAAAAGTTCACGCTGCCAAAAGGGAAAATGTTGAATCAAGTCAAAATGCAGCCACTTTGTGCATATAATACAAAGGTTATATCTATATCTAGTTTTGAAATTCAATTATGTGAATAACAGTTCTAAAACAGAGTACAAATTATAAATGAATTTGGAGAGGCACCAGGATTTTTTTTTTTTTTTGTATATATATAATATATACAATGTTGTGCTTGTTCAACTATGTTAATGAAAAAGCAGAGTACATATGGTTTTTTTTTTCCTCCCTTTTTTGATGGTGGCCATGAGTCCAAAAACCAATTACAAAGAAAAATTTGTTTCAGCAGTGGCAACTTAAAAAAGGAAGTTAGGCATCTCCTCCATCCATACACAATTACAAAGTGTTATTATCTCCAATTTTGCAGAAATATTGTTGCTGATATTTACTTACAAAAATAATTCTTTGCTATCAACAACCTTCCCCATAATCAACATCAAAAGCACATGAAAAGCATAACCAAGAACAAAAGGCCACTGTAAATAACACGCATGTTGTTGTCTAAGATCTCAAAAAAGGCCATTATCAAAAAATTCTTTTACAAAAATTGTCTAAACTAGTTTCACTGAAGTCCGATGAATTTACTATATTGTGCGCTTGAGGATCCTTTAGAATCTTGAATTGAAGGACAAAGTAAGGACTCCTACATCAAAAAAGAAAGTAATGTGTCATAAAACAAATCAAAACTATGCAGTCTTGACATGAATAATATAAGTTGTATAAAACCAAATAATTAAACTTCAGTAAAACTCATTTTCACCTGTAACAAATGAGTGAATGAAAGATGGTTCCAAGCTTGAGGTGTTTCTGGGATCATCCATGACATGGAATTGGGCATCTCAACACCCTGCGGATAGAGAGGACTTTGATCCATGTTCTTATCTTCGAACGCAGGCACATAAAGATGCATATTATCCTATATTATGCAAATTTATATAAAATCAATAAGAAGTGTATGATTAAGAAAGAAAACATTTATAAACAGAAAATAACCTTTAACCTGTATTGTAGAATCTGTAATAGACGGCTGAGGGGCTGATTGAGATCCCATTTTGCGTCTACTTTTCTTTACTTTGGGTTGCAATTCAACCCAACTCTTAGGCCTTTTTTTCGACCTACCCTTCCCCAAACCCTCCTTTTTTTTTAACCCCTTCGCTTTAAAAACATGTGGGTTATGAGGTTGATTTTCTTCTGCAACCTTTTCACTTGATTTTTGTGGACATGAAGGTGCATGAGCATCATTTCTTGTTCGTTCACACTAGCTTGTTTGCTTAAGACATCATCAATCTTTTTTGCCATTTCAATAGAATTTTTCATAAGCATGCATGTAGTTTCTTTGCTTTCAGCCGCACGACAACCCAACTTAATCAAACTCGGGCACAACATTCTATAACGAGAATTCATATCCAAATCAGCCACAACTTGTTTAGCTACACACCTATTATTTTCTTGCACCAATCCATCTTTGGCTTTTTTTGCCCATCTCTTCAACAAGTAAGATTCTGGTATCTCTTTGATGTTCATCATGTCAAGGCCTTTCAAAGCATGGGAACACAAAATTCCATATCTCACAAAATTCCACATCTTTCAAAGCATGACACTTGAGGGCCTTGTGGGTTGGCTTTCACTTCACGAACCATAGGCTCATCAGTATTTTCTTGCACCAATCCATCTTTGGCTTTTTTTGCCCATCTCTTCAACAAGTAAGATTCTGGTATCTCTTTGATGTTCATCATGTCAAGGCCTTTCAAAGCATGGGAACACAAAATTCCACATCTCACAAAATTCCACATCTTTCAAAGCATGACACTTGAGGGCCTTTTGGGTTGGCTTTCACTTCACGAACCATAGGCTCATCAGGTATCTTGACCATATAGTCATGTGAAAGGTTACTTTCATCTTGTTTCCAAGCAAAAGCACGCAAGCTATTCAAATATTCTATCTTGAATAATTCAAAAATCTGGTTTGTGTAAAAATCTCCTGTATTAATCAACATGGGAACGGGTAATCCGATTCTCGGCAACTTTTGACGAGAAGCATATTCACATTCCAACTCTATGTGGTTAATATCATCAACAACCCTTTCAAAATGCTTAAAGAAATGCACTATTCCTAAGTCCGATTGCAAGAAATTACAAAGCTTGGCATTGAAGCTTTCTCTTACCTGTGTAGTATCAGCCCAAGCCGACCAAACTGTCATAACATAAGGCTTTGCTCATTTTTCCCTCACCCCATATATAGTAGGCAACCAACTATTATCATGAACATCAAATCTATCAAGCATATCTTCCCAAGCAATGCAAAAGCTTTCCTCATCCTCATAATTGTAAATGAATTTACCAAGCTCAACACCAATCCCACCATGATCACCTACATATTTACTTCCCAAGTGCTTAATTGCATTTTGCTTCATATGCCACTGTAGACACCCCATTTTTGACCGTCCTCAAGACTTGGACGTCACCGTTCGAACACTCGGTGATCATCCATGAACGTGTTCGTTTGGAGTTCCCGGAGGTCTCGGCTCGCGCGCCCTGCCTCAGGATCTCCGAACTTGACCGTTTAGTGTCTGGTTTTGCACCGAACACTCATGTTTTGCCTTGGAAGGGCAGGGAATGCCTTATGAGGCATTCCCACACACCACCGGCAGTGGCTAGAGGCCACCGGCTGGTCTTTTGCTGCCATCGGCACTTTTGTTTGCCGGTCGGAA